GGGTTTTTAGAGGCAGTTAGTCACATGGAGGAGATGGCTCATCCTTATCTTACGGAGCAGCTGGTGGAATCAAACTGTGTTCTCCTGGGATTACAGAGTAGCTTCTTATCACTAGGCCACCTATTGGGGAACAAATTAGGAATGTTAGGAGGCAGTAGTTGTTGTGAATTGAATGGACACATAAGAGTTTTCTCTACTCCCCCCCACCCCATTGTTAATTTGTTTCTGGACAGGAACCACAATGAGCAAAAGAATCAGTGCCTTGAGGCTGAAGCTAGCAGGAAAAGAGAGTTAGAATAATGAAGTAAGTAAAAAGTATGAAAAAAAATCCCTCCAAAGAATGTCACGTTAAGTAAATATGAGAGGCATAATATACATACATTGCAAATTCATATTATGAACTGGGTAGGATATATATGTAGTATAGTTAAACTAACACCAAGGCACATTTCTCCATTGTTAAAGAGAATACCTTCAATTGTATTGATACATTTCTCAATTGTATTTGGTGATAACAGTCTCCTTGCCTTTTCAAAAAAGTCATGCTTACAGTCCTTGGATAGAGGTAAGCACACCTGTTTTCTCTATTTGGGTTTGACTGGAGGTCTACAGAATAGCTACTGGATATGGATGCTTTCAGAAATGCTGTGCTATTTAGTGTTCCCTGCAGTCCTTTAATAGATTTTTACAGAGAACATTGGAAAATGTGAGGAAAGACTCTTTCTTTCTGGTAGTTGCTACTAGAACCAAAATGTCCCTCAAAAATTCAAATTCCAGTCAGAAGTGCCACAACTGGCTTTCTAATGCTGTAAATCCCATGGGATTTCTCTCTTGGTGAGTTTGAACTGCCTGAGCGGCTTAGGCTTCAGGTGAGTAGTGCAATTCCCTTTGTCATCAGAGCTTTGTCTGTAATGTCTCTTCATCTGTAATGTTGTCCCATTATTTTCCTTGGACGGACATGACAAGACTGGATATAATGATGCTACTCTTTTTCATTTTAGGGAGCACTGGCGCTTTGTAGTGAGGAGTTGTGCTGTGAACCTGGCGGTACACAGTTAGAATCCACCAACTGCTCTGTGGAAGAAAGATGGAGAATCTTCTCCTATGAGATTTACTGGCTCTGAAAACCTGCTGGAGGGTCAGCTATTAATCAGTTCCAACTTGACAATACAACTGTCTTTCATTTAGGCAAGTAATCTCAACAAGGCATTGTGAAGTTCCTCAGTGGGAAAGAAACGAAAATCAGGGGCATCAATCTGGTTAAAAAGCTCTCAAAAGTATCTAGAATGATGACATTAGCTAGGCATTGGTTTTTAGATATTAACATGAGTAAACATTCTATGTTCCAATACAGATTCTGAATAAGACAACTAAATAGAGATTTGGTTCCCCATAGGATCTCAAAGCCCTTTGAGGATTTAAACTGATAAGCCAACCTCAAAGGGACTGATTCTTGCAACTAAAACACAGACACCTCTGGGGTGAAATGTGGCAACAGTTTGACAGGCATAGCAGTAGCTTAGGCCAGAAAGGATTTATCCAATTAAAATTATGGGATGAATTTTGGCTGGCAGAATGTAATTACCAGCCTTGGAATGGATCCAGGATCCTGAGGTTAACACCCCTCCTCTTGCCAACAACCCTCCTACCTGCCAACACTCTGAGATGGAGAAGGCTGGATCTGACATAATCGCACATAATACTGTTGTGACATCTAAGTACAATGATGATGATGTGAGAAGCATCATGAACCTGATTTTTTTTTAACACTCATTATGTTACTTATTTTTATGCCACATTAGGCTAGAAACCAAATGTCCACATAAATGTTAATTTCCTCAAATCTGTGTTTGAAAATTATAATTAGAAAATAAAAAAATAGATTTAAAAATTAATTTATTCCGTCAGAGGAGTTATTTAGTGATTATTTCATTTCAGGAATGAAACCAGATCAAAACGGTGACATTTAATCCTTGCTTCATTTTTGGAGAATATGTTCTCGGGGTTCACTGGCCTAGAAAAAAAGGGAAATGCTTAATGCCTGGTTCACATTCTTTAAGTTTGACTAAATGGGCTTATGCAAGTTCTGCTTTTGTCCAGGGGACCATCCGGTTTCTATTCTCAGGCATTCTTAGGCAGTGGTTCTGCCAGAAGGGAATTTAAATGAGCATTTAAGAAAAGCTTCCTTTAAGGAAAGCAAGGCAAGTGCCCCCTGCTGGCGAATGATCAAGGGGTTGTGACCTAATCAGTAGCTTCTAATACCTTTCCCCATTGTTTATTTGCATTAGAGAATTGTAGAGTGCTCCACCGTAAAGATGAAAAAAGAAAATTCTAAAAAGAATACTAAGCTTTCAAGGACACTAGGGCAGCGAAAAAGAAGGCTTTCAAGAACACGGAAGGCCACAGCGATGGGTTTGTGCAATGCGCAGGACAAGCAAGGTTCAGATACGTTGTTCTTAGTGTTGGTATGAGTCCTAGTCGACTGGAAGGCACCTAGCAAGAAGGACGTGCTGTCAGGGTCTCAGAAGGTGGTGGCAAGTTCGGGTACAGTCCGCCCGCGGGGCGAAGGGGAACCCGGGCTGGTGGCGGAGGCTGTGGTTCGGTCCCGCGCGGCGCCCCGACTCAGCAGCCATCGGCCCCGGCGACCATGTGAGCCCGTGCGGATCCCCTGCTGCGGGGCTGCAGGCGAGCGGGGCCGCGGGATCTGGGTCCAGGGCCGAGACAGCGCAGCCGCACTGCTGACCCGCGCCCCGGGGAGGAGCCTTCGGCCTGCGCTCCGTGAGCGCAGACCGGGGTGCTGGCGGGCCTCAGGGGAGGCCCCAGGACGGAGAGCGGCCTCCGGCCACGTGGCCCTGGGCACTCAGCTCCGGAACCGAGACGGCAGCTAGGTTGTAACCGCGACCACGCGCAGCAGCCCCGGGCGAGCCTCGCCGCGGCCTCCAGCGCGCTCCGGGTGCAATGCAGGCAGGTGAAGGAAGGAAGTGGCGGCGGCTGCGCTCGGCCTGGTGCTCCGCCCCAGGGGACGCAGATGTTGGGCTCGAGCTCAGGAAGTTAACAGAGCTGAGGATTGAAAGGGCTGTCGGTCTGGGATCTCCATCTCCCAAACCGCAGTGTGCTTTGGGGTCTTGATTTGGGGTCGCATTCTTAGAAGAGAGAGAGATACTTACCCTTTTGACTAACAAGCCTGACGGCTCTCCAAATGCCGCTAATTTCAGCTTTTGGTGTGGAGGTAGATTTTTCTAACACCATCTTTGTGTGATTTAGCTGTCCACAGGGAATCAAAATGTGGCATGAGAGGATGAAACTAATCCTTTCTTTTGCACTGTTAGGGGTTGCCATAAACACCATTTGTTAAAAAGCATAATTATGTTGGGAAAGTGCCTGATGAGACAATTAAGCTACATAAACACACTGAAAACAAATGAAAACCAGAAGACGCCCACACCCCTTGTGTAAAGCAATTTTTTGTTTACATAGGAACGAGAGCGGTCTGAGTTGCTTTATTACCAGATTATTAATGTCTAGAAAAAGATAATGACCATATTTTTATGAGTTTTCGATTATAAAACCGTGGGCACAATGTGCAAACTTGCTTGCAAACCTGAACTAGTCACGGAGCCCCGGGCCGGTGGGTTCCAATAGTCAAGCCAGGGCAACCTCTAGTGAAGATGGCAGATTTATTTATTTACAGGGAGACTCTAAGCAAATTTAGTTTAAAGTCGTAAGCTTTTAAGTTTGTATCAGGGTTGAACACAGTTCCCTGCAGTTATCCCGGTGTGGAGAACATTACCGGCACAAACTGACCTCCACAGAGCATTTGTTAAATGGACCACATTAACGTTCCTATTTAGGGAGGCCTTACATTTATGACTGCCCGGTCTTGAAAAGAGGTAACCCTTCTTTATTAATTAAACCCTCATTAAACACACTGACGTCTAATTGGACTAGAGTCACTCTTAGCTGACCCGCTAGCGGCTGGCTTTTCTGAGGCTGTAAATTTCATAAGGGGAGATTGCACATCGCTGTCTAGCAGAGTAGCTGGTGGGATTGAACCTTCGGAGAGGTGCCTCTTTGGGTTAGCAGAACAGATCGCTACTGTCAACACCACCAAAGCTCCCTCCGTATTAATCAAGAGGTAATATCTCTTTATTGTTTTGAGATATTTTACCTCCTTTAGAACATTTTAGTGGTGGAAAAAAATATCACTCAAAAGTATTGAAGAGGCAAAGCAACCTTACAAACTCATGCAATGAATCCCTGTCTTACAAAGAGTCAAATTTTAGCCTTAATGAACAATCTCAGAAATACAAGAGTCGATGCCAGTTTTTTAGTTCAAGGATCAGAGCCCAGGAGAAGATTTAAACTGATTCAGAAACTTTGGAGATCAAAGTACAAGAGCAAATTTAGTTAAAGAAATGTCATTTATGGCATCCAAATGAGTTCCTTTTGTTTGTTCATGTAATGTCCATGCTGTGGCCTGTAGGGATACTTTTCACCCTAATAAGTATATTAATTATAAATATAATTATGTTTTCCTCATAGTAAATAATGTTCCTCATTGCCATGACTTGCATTTCTACAGTCTCATTAAGAATCACACTTATTTGTTAAATTGTGCTAACCCAAAAAAAGGGATTAGCTACAGAAGGATGATTAACATGAAAGCAAAACCCAAAACATACTTTTATGAAGAAGTTTTCATTTGCATATTAGAAGTCAGACGTAATAACTTGCAAAATATTTATTAGTGTTGTTATTACGTTCCTATGTTAAGTCTTGACTACATCCCAATGGTTTCCTGGTTGACTCAATCTGAGGATTTTATGTTTTAGGTGTTCTGTAGAAATGAAATAAAGTGTCCATATTATTACTGCCTAGTTTAAAGAAAAAAGAATAACTCTGACTTTTTAAAAATGGTTAATGAACATGAAAATGTGAATGAAATTAGAAAAAGTAAAATGGAGAATCCTTTTCTTCCTATTCTAGAAAAAAAACACACCATGTCTTCCTCCAGACTGGAACTCCGTTTGGCTGCCTGTTTACTAAACATATCAGAAGCCAGAAGAAAACATGTTGTTGAGAACGTAGCAAAAGCAGCTCTTCTGGGAAAAAATGGTGGGAACAGCAGATAATAGAAGTGACTATTGTGGTGTTGGGATGACTTCGTGCTATAATAGCTATACAGCACTCTTTTCCCGCTGACTCCCCTCTCCACTTGTACTGGATCTGTTTTGGCTTTTTCTGCACCACCCCAGGCTACCGTGTTAGCTCAGTAACTTAAATGTGCACTTATGCTCATTTCCAAAAGTCTGACAACTCAGTACAGATAGTCAAGTTTGAGTGTGAGTCTCTGAGATGCACATTGTCCAGGATTTAACAGGATCCTGAGGAAGATAACTTTACGTAAAAGCTTAACATTTGCCTTCTTAGGCTGCTATTTGATCACTAATTAAATGAACATAACCTTACATTATTCTTTTTATACAGCAATGAATAGAAAATAGACTTGCCAAATACCAACTACTTTTCAAAGCACTCCTGCCAGCAAAGCCTTTTACCATATTATTATTTCTACTCCATTTTGGCTGGATAGAGACTTTTAGGCAGTTGTGTTTACACGAGGCACAGCAGGTCACCAGCAATTCGGTGATGGGAAATGGAACACAAGACTCTTTGCTCCAGATCAGTGTTTATGTTCACTATAAGTGATACTACCAGTTATGTTATCTTGTGCCTCAATATGTGATAAGACACATTTTTAAAGTACCGCATGTTTGTACTTTCCCTATAAAACCCCATACACCACTATATTCACACAATTCACCAAAAACTAACTGGTGGTTGTCTAGTTGGCACTGACTCAGAGTTGACTTTCCAGTAGATTTTCAGAAGATGTAAATCACAGGAAGGGAATCAGATTGCCCATCTTTGTCCCTCAGAGCAGTTGATAGATTTGAACTGCCTTTCTTTGGGTTAGCTATGCAACTCCTTAAACATTAGGCTACCAAAGCTTATTTACATACAGAATCATTTAAATTCTTTGTCATTAAATTGGTAGTTTGGGGGTAACAAGTAGGCAGTAGAGTCACTGCTTAAAAACATTTGAGGCAGTCTCTTTTAGGTCTAATTGTTGCTGTTGTTTTAAATTTGGTTACTGTTGTTTGTAAGAGGGAAATATTCCCTCAGCCTGGTTCTAACTATGAACACATTTAAGTTACTCTCTTCCAAGTTCACAGGAGTGGGATAGATCTGTGACAATTCTTGATAATTGCTGATTGGAAAACTCCTTGGGAGTCTTCACAGCTACAGGTTTGCAATCTCTGTGTGGGAAGAGCCATCTTGGGCTCCTGGAGGTGAGAAATGGTGCACCTAATGGGATTGGGTTTCCTTTCTCTGCAATGAAGTGAATGTGCAGACTTTTGTGGAAGCCACACACTGATGGATGCCTGGGCCTCAACTCATGACTTTTATCAGCTTATTAGTGGCAGCCACTCAAATGGAATTATAGCTATTATACTCCATTACAAATACCAAACAATTTACTTCTGCTGAGAGTCGTACTGACAGCTCCTCCTGCCAGCAGTAATTTTTTTCTTCTATATACAAGCTTAAGAAATTGCAGGCGAGAAGGTTTCATTCTTTCAGCATTTGATTCAATTGAATCACATGAAACTGAGAATAAAAGCTTTTCAGAAGGAGATTTAGGGGGAAAAACATTATCTCTCTTTTTCTTCCAGCTAGAGAATGTTGAAAAATGGCATAAAATAGGAGGTTGTATGATCTTGTTCTTGTTTCATTTTAATCGATACAAAAATGTGGGGAAGGAGAGGCTACTTAAAGAAAATGAGCTGATTGTTTTACAAATATCTGAAATGCATTTGGTTGTAAGTGAATAGGGGGAAAATGAAATCAACTGTGTGTGTGGTTCTCCCTCCCTAATTAAGCAGTATGAGAACATTTAAATGGCCTCAGAAGGTCTCAGATAAAGGACTATGAGTTATGAACTTTAGACCATCACTGGAAGAGTCCTTTGTAGATGCTTAGTGGGTGATGAGTAAGTGACATATTTATCACTTCATATTATTAAAATGAATCGCATAGGTTATTGTAAGCTCTGTGTTTCTTGTGTGTAACTTATTTTTCCTTTTCTCAGAAAAGATTAATTGTTAAGTTGCCTGGGGACAAAGTATAATAATATAACTAAAGATTTAATTACTGCTCGGAAATGTTGGTCCTTTACTTTGAATTTGCTTTTGTAGGCTTAAGGGGGACTTTTAAATAGCTTGGGTCAGGCTTATAAACTTCAAAAATAACTTTGGGTTTGTGCGTGGCTACCAGACTAGGGAATAGAGACTTCTTTTCCAGTCTACACAGTCTAGGGAGTCACAAGCTACCAAAATCTGGACGTTGTTAACATCTGCAGGCTGCTGCTGGTCTCTGAAAGGAGCTGGCGGAGTACTACCCGTTTCTAATGAACAGGTGCATGCCTTCCTGGAGCTTCTACTGTAGATACTGATTGGCCTGAGCAGATTCTTCCTGATGTCAGATTTTGATCTGTCATGACCTCTGCCAGTTGTCATTGAGTTAATGGGGCAACTGCTGGAGGTCTCTTGCCCCAACTGATGGGGCAATCCTGTGTGTCTCGGGGTAGAATTCTGTTGCATAGAGTTTTTTAGTAGTTGATTTTGTGAGGAAGTAGATTTCTGAATGGGCATGACTCTCCAGCTTTTGGGTTCGTAGCTTATTGTGTAAACTGCATTTCCTGATTTTGACCCAGTCACAGTGATTTCTCAGTTGTGGAAGGAAAAATTGACATGCCTTAGGGAGATGAGATAAACATGGAACAGAAGTAAAAGTCATATGACTTAGCAATTAAAGATAGGCTACCATGTTAGATTGAGTTAAAATAACTTTGTTAAGTTGATGTGGCAAACTCAGTAGGAAGTCCATCTCAGTTATAGGGTAAGGTGCTGCGAAGTGGGCATATTTGTCAATGTCACATCTAAAAGTCATTCCATGAAAGACCAATAGGATGTATAAACTTTCACTCAACTAAAAAAAAATGTATAAGTCCCATTGCTGAATTTTTCTAGGAAGTTAAATTTAATTCTGTCAGAAGAAATAAAGTACTATGGTTTCATGGGAGGTAGGGGAATGATGTTCATGCAGTGTTTTCTTAACAGGACAGAAACTTCCTGAAGTGTCAGTGCTGAATATATTTTCAGATCAAGACTACAACAGATCGGTCATTACAATAGCAGCATCTATTGATAAATTGGGTAAGATTTCCATGTCTTTAACATCTTTTTGTTTTTAATGAAGGGTGGGACAGGTAGCTAGGAATGTTCTTTAATTATGGATTTCCTATGTAAATATGAATCTTTCCTTCCAAAAAGTAAGAAAAACCTCACAGAAACAAATATTGCTTTGACTCAGGACAAACCAATATATGTCAAATAGATCTGTACTCGACAGGGGTTTCAGAGGCTGATTTTTCAGAAGCGGATAACGAATATTTCCTCCTGAAGTACCCCTAGGGAGAGTTGAACCTCTAACTCTTTGTATATCAGCTGAATGAGCTAGCCATTTGCACCACGCAGGAAATCCCGTCTTTAGTTGATCATTTCATCATTTTTCCTGAATATGTACATTTCACCTTTTCTGTTACTCTCTGTTAACACAAAATCCAATAGTTAGTAACATCTTTTCCACAAGATGGTCATAGATTCTCTTTGGTTGGGGGTGGGGGAAAAGACTCTTCAAGTCTTAACTGTTGAAGCAATAGTGTTAAAATTCACCTTTAGTTTTACCTATAAGTGACCATGGAAACAGATACAGTGATTGTGCTTTAGAGTTGGGGCCCAGAATTTCAAGTTGTGTGGTGAGTTGACTGGAATGGACCCTGTGTCTGTCTCATGGGGATGTTGTAAGGTTTAATAGGATAACTTGAATTTGAAGACTTTAAATTGTTTAAAAGAAAAGTAATCTTATTTTAATATTGCTTGGGAAAGGTTTCAGAATATTTTCAAATAAACTTGATTTTGACTTGGCAAATTTTCCTGTTTATAAAGGTATGTTTGCTTTGAAAGCAAAACTTAAATGAATAATTCCAAGCAAAGAAGACCTGCTTGTTTTTAATGGTAATCATAAAAGAGGGAGCTCTGGTGGTCTAGTAACAAAAAGCTCCACTGCAGGCCCGAAGGCACTTGGTTCGAGGCCACTAGCCACTCTGAGGGAGCATGATGGGCAATCTCCTCCCATGTGATTAACTGCCTCTGAAACCCCACTGGAGGGTCCTCTATGGGTTGGTTCTGATTCAATGGTACAGAACAATGAAAATATAAAAGAAGACACATTGTCATTCTTGTTTAATGCAAAAATGTTATAATACTTCCTTGCCAATGAAAACTCATAATAACAACATAAACTTTAAAAAAAAAAACCCCAACCTTCCACAAAACCTTGAACTCATTGGTATTGAATTGAAACCAATTAATAGCTGGCCCTCCAGCAGATTTCCTGAGGCTGTCAATTGCATGGAAGAAGAATGTCTCTCTTTCTCCTGAGGTGTGGCTGGTGGATTTGAACCAGAAAAGCACCACTGTTGAATTAGCAGCATGATTTTATATGGAATATACAACCAGCGCTCCCTAAGATGCCTACAATTTGCACTTGAATATAAAAATCAAATGGAAAATCTAATTATTGGACAACAGCAAAATTAAAACGAGCATATATGCTTTTAAAAATTATGTTGTATTATTTTTTAATATAATGTCTAATAAAATGTTGAGGATAACAAGGCATTTGATTAGATTAATTGGTAAAAGAAAACATATTTAAAGTGATTTCTTAAAAATACACCCTACCTTGTGTAAAACTGATATAGATTGCATAATCCCTACATTTGAGTAATAAAAGGTTGGAAGAAATGTAACATTTTATCATAGTCAGGGTTTTAGGTGAGGGAAAAATGTTGGGCCTTTTGTGTTTCATTAGATTGGATAAGAAATCTAAAATACAGATAGCAGGAGAAAAGTAACTAGTGCGACAATAAAACCCTGGCACCCCTTTTCGGCATGACTAAACGTTTGATGATTGTCTTTTTGCTGTTGCTGTTTGACATGTTCAAGGCCATTCTGTTCATGCTGCCTGTGTGGAAGCCTTCCAGTCTATCAACATGGAGGTTCAAGAGGGGATCCACCCTTGCCTGGGAGCAGTGGACCTCATTCCCATTTACCCTCTCTCTGGGGTAGGACTCCAAGAGTGTGGTACTGTGGCTAGAAGTAAGAGAAAGTTGGGGGGGGGAGGTGTTATTCTTTAATGTAAACCATTTTTATTACCCAGAACAGCTAGTGACAATATAATCACTCCTCAATCCTCTGGGAAAAGTAGAGCTTTAAGAATTTTATCCACAGTCAGCTTTCATGGGAGGCAGTGGCACACTCAGTCCTTGTAACTCATCCTTCTGACTTCCCACCCCATGACATGACAAAACACTAGACGAAGATATGGGTAAGAGGGGGAAAATCATTGATAACTTTGTCTCTTATAAGTTCATAATAGTGAGTAAACAACTGTAGTTTCTAATGAATTCCTTGAACTCTTCAAGGCAGAATGATGGTGTGTTTTGCCCATCTGTGTTCTATTTTCTGGAGTAGGGGTAATGATGAGGTTGAAAAACCACTTAAATGTTAACTCCTACCCTTTTTCCTCTGATTTTTTCCCCTCCCTCTTTTTTCCTTATGTACAACTTTCTCTAAGATTTTCTTAAGAGCCAAACTGTCACGTGCTTGATTTCGGCCCCAGGGGTAAATTTAATTTGGAAAATTTGAGCTGTGTCACTTGAGGTGTTTTTGAATTAGGCCACTTGGGAGACAAGAAAGGCCCCTTGCGTGGACAGTCGAGCGGCTGCATGGCTAATTACGACATGCAGGGGCTCATAACCTGGGGGGGAGGGGAGTCCGCCTTGGGATAATTGCATTCTTCTCCGTGTGACCTCAGAAGTCCCTCTGTGGTGTTGCCCTGTTTTTATTTAATAACGAATTGTCTAACATTTGAGATGTAGACTTGGCCTTTAGCTGTGCTGTATTCAGCACTGGAGATAGGAAATGAAACTTGTTTCCAGAGGAACACTCAGGCCTGGAACTTCGTTTTAATGCGACCTGACACTCAGGGGGTCATTTCCCGGGGAAATCTTGGTCCTGTAATTTGCTTCACTTCTTATCCAAGCAAGAGTTAAAAATTCAGCATGGGGGAAAATATGTCTCACACAAAAATGAAGAGTTCAGATTTGTCCAGACCAGAATAATGATTTTAATTGTCTTCCAAACAATTACGGACAATTACATTAAGTCTCAAATTAGCTGGTACATGGAGTTCTTCGTTACATCAGGCTCGTCCGCCCCAGATGTTCACCCTGTAGAAGACAGTGGAGACTCAAAGAGTCTGGACACGGTGTTTCTCCATTCCCTTGCCCTTTTGCTTCATTGGCAGCTACTGTACCTCATGATTTAAACATGGACATTTCTAATTAAATGAGAGCTCAGCTGCATTCTTGAACTAATTTATAACATTTGATTTGAAATGTAATAGCTTCAATCTTCATCTGATTAAAAACAGTCATATACTGTACATGGTTACTATTTTGATGCTCCAACATGCAGTTTTTATTTTTGCATTCCCTTTTCTACACAGCTGTTCATCTAATATCATCCAGTTTTTTTGTTGTGTTGTTGTTTTGGGTTTTTTGTTTTTTTTTTTCACTTTCCCCCCCTCTTCTTCTGTAACAGTGTGCTCAGACATTCTTATGAGGCAGAATTATTCAAATCCTAGGATCCTGCTGTTCTCAGCTCCGTAAAGGGATATTTTACACTAGGGTAAACCCTTGCCAGGGAAGTCAGCTGGATTTCTCTGAGAAAAAGGAGCAATGGAGAATATTCTAGTGACCTTCAAAATAGTGTATACACATGTACCCGTGTAAATATTAAGGCATTCTGTATATGTCAAAGCTCTGAAAAATAGATTTCAGAACTTTTTGGTGTAAACAGAAAACTTGCATATGCTTTAAGGAAGAGATTCTTAACCTGATGTCTAAAATCAGAGCTCAAATGATTTTAAAATGCTGACAAATTTTTTTACGTTTATATATATACATATTAT